TTTTTTTTTTTTCAAAATAATTCAATTTAACCTACTATTGTACTATCAAATTCAATTATATATCCATTGTGCTCTATTGTCTTTCATAACTTGAAGTAATTCACCATTGATTGTCCTTTTTGTGGCACTTACCATTCATTGTTTAACTTCAGTTCTTGTCTTGTGATTGATAAAGGATGTATTTCTTTTTGCGATAAAGAAAGGTTTTTGTCAAATTTCTAAAATCAAAGACCAAATAAACCATAATAATAGTAATTATTAATTTTCTTGCTAGTATAGCATCAAAACAATCAAGCATAGGATTTTCCCCTTATGATGTGTTTTAGCTTCATCACCAGGGAATGGGAGATTTCCTTCATGACCTAATGAATATGATGGAGCAAAACGCTGGGGCTGAGGTACGGAACTTCACATTCATTTCTAAAGGTGTGGTAGTTAACTATATTGCTTAGTTTATTTCTAAAAAATAAATAAACTATCTCGAGAAGGAAGAAAGCTTAGAGGACCTGCAAAAAACATTCATGGATTTGTTCGGTGAGGATCTGGCTAACATGGTGGAGAGTGACGATCCAACAGTCACAAAGAGGGCCCGTGACAGTGGGGCCAACGCTCGGGCAACACCAAAAAAGCGCAGCTTTCGCATCTGATGTACTATTGTTTTCCTCACTTGTAGTTGTACCATTCAATTTTTTTAGGAATTAGTTCGAAAAGGGTAAGATTTCAAAATTTCTGATTGTGGCTTCATGAACGACACGCAATTGCTGAAAGCAATGGAAAATAGACGTTTGTGGTGTTTTTTATGGTGTCTTCACTCTTGATGAACTTGATTCTATTTGCTCTAGTGAAGAACTTGCTTCTTTGTTGGAAAATGTGTTGGGTTATTTGATTATGTCTTATTTGCTGTTTATCCCTTGGCCCTGGTTAAATTTGATTCTCATTTTGGGTAACTTAATGAACACTCCTCTACTCACGGTGGACACATGTTAATATGTACACCTGTAGAAATGTGTATATGAAAATTGAAGAATCGAAAACAATATCAAAAATAAAAGCAGATCGCCATTTTTGCCAAGCTCACAACATTTTTTATAAATTTGAAAATCTATTTTGGGAAGATGAACATATTGGGAATAAAAGGAATTCCCTCAGCTCACACATGCTCGATTACAATGGCACACGTGCCAGACAACAAAGATAAAAGAACAGAAAATAAAAAAACGCACGACATCATTAATAAAAGCGTTAGCACGCTTAACAACTAAACAAAACAAACAAATATAATAAAAGCGTTAGCACGCTTAACAACTAAAAAAAACAAACAAATAAAAAACTGAAGAAACCAAACAGCATGAATATGCATGAACATGCACGCAATAGATCCTCCTTGAACTTCAACATTTCAACACCCCCCCCTCAAGTGGGAATGTGGGGATTAAAGCACATTCCCAACTTTGACAGAAACTTCTGGAAATCAACACGGCCAAGGGACTTAGTGAACATGTCAGCGGGCTGAAGAGATGAAACAATGTGTTGAGGCAGCAAGAAACCATCTTTGTACAAATTGCGCACCACATGACAATCAATGTCAAGATGTTTCGTACACTCATGAAAAACCGGATTTGCAGTGATATGAAGGGCAGCACGATTATCACACCACAAGGGAATTGGAGAGTGAAGAGACAGAGATAGATCACCCCCTAAGTAAGCAAGCCACTGGAGTTCACATGCGGTAGTTGCCATAGATCTATACTCTGCTTCTGCAGAGGAGCGAGAAACTGTCTTCTGCTTCTTGGTTTTCCAAGAAATCAAGGCTTGGCCAAGAAAAACACAATAGCCAGTGAGTGATTTTCTAGTCAGAGCACAACTCCCCCAGTCTGCATCACAGAAAGCTTCCAATTTGTTAGAGGGAGTTGCAGCATAGTAGAGACCTAGGGAAGGAGTTCCTTTCAAGTACTTGAGCAAGTGGATGGCAGCTGCCCAATGAGCCTGTGTAGGAGTTTGAACAAACTGGGTAAGCTGCTGAATCCCATAGGATATGTCTGCCCTTGACAGATTCAAGTATAATAGTCTCCCAATAAGCCTCTATATACTGAAGAGTCTGGGAGTGTAGGAGACTCTTGTGAAGAAAGGTTTATGCCAGAGGGCAAAGGAGTGGCAGATGGTTTGCAATCACTCAACCCAAGGTCATGTAACAAGTCTAGTATGTACTTTCTCTGAGTGAGATATGTACCTTTTCCAGTATTGTAAATTTCTAGCCCCAAGAAGTATTTTGCAGGTCCTAAATCTTTGATTGTAAAAAGATTATGAAGATATTTTTTGAGACTTTGAATAGCATCTAAAGAATTCCCAGCAATAAGAACATCATCAACATATATCAACAAGGCTAGAGTTGTAGAACCTGTGTGCTTGATGAACATGCAATGATCATGCTTAGACTGGATAAAACCATAACCAAGTAACTTGTCTGAAAATCTATGTTCCATTGTCTGGAGGCTTGTTTCAGACCATAGAGACTCCTCTTTAGCAAGCACACTTCTCCTTTGGCAGCTTTTGTGTACCCTTTAGGTGGCACCATGTACACCTCTTCCTCCAAAAACCCATGAAGGAATGCATTATTTATATCAATATGGTGTAGTTCCCACTTTCTTTGTGTTGCCAAGGCTATAAGTAATCTCACAGAGACCAGTTTAGCTACTGGAGAGAAACTATCAAAGAAATCAATTCCTTCTTTCTGTAAATACCCCTTTGCCACTAACCTTGCCTTGAATTTATCTACACTTCCATCTGGGTTCCTTTTGATTTTGTATATCCATCTACAGCCAATAGCCTTTTTTCCAGCAGGCAACTGTGTGAGTTCCCAAGTGTTATTCACTTCAAGTGCTTCCAACTCTTTATTCATGGTTGTAATCCACTTATCATCTTGTGCTGCTTGTTCATAGTGCACAGGTTCTGACATAGTTTTTCCAACCTCAGTGAAGAACAAGGTTGCATCCTCATTCTCATCATCAGAGGAAAGACCATCAACTATGTAGTCCTTCATCCATGCTGGTCTCCTTCTGACTCTTTTCCCTTGAAGATCTTCTTGTGTGGGATTAGTTATTGTACCTTCTGATCTGAGGTGATCAAGAACATTTTGTGGGTTAGATTCTCCCACTTCTTCAGCTGGTCCATCAAGTAATGTAGGCATGACCACACCAGGTTCACTTGACTTGTGTTTTGCTGTCTCTCTTGAAAAAGGAAACTCATTTTTATAGAAATGCACATCTCTTGAAATAAACACCTCCTTTGCTTCTAAGTCATACAACTTGTATCCTTTCACTCCAGAAATGTACCCCAAGAAAACACAGGCCACTGCTCTTTCATCAAATTTCTTCCTGTGTGGGTTGATTCTTTTTGCATAGGATAAGCATCCAAAAACTCTAAACATATTGTAAGTGGACAACTCACCATGCAGTATCTCATAAGGGCTTTTCCATCCCAAGTTTTCACTAGGAAGTGTATTGATGATTTGGACTGCAGCCAATAAACTGTAAGGCCAAAGATCCTTTTGCAAGTTTGATTGAAATGAAATAGATCTTGCTACTTCTAAAATCACTTTATGTTTCCTTTCAACCACTCCATTCTGTTGTGGAGTATATGGACAAGATTTTTGATGAATCATCCCTTTATCTCTAAACAGTTCAGCCACATCTTTGTTTATGAATTCTGTCCCATTATCTGTTCTGACCCTTTTTACCTTCTCCTCAAACTGAACTTCCACCATGTTTAAAAAGAATTTGATGTGCACATATGTCTCAGACTTGTACTTCATAAGAAAGATCCAAGTTGCCCTGGAGTAATCATCCACAATAGTCAACATGTAAGCAGTGTTGGTCTTGGATCTCTCAAGATATGGTCCCCAAACATCTACATGAATCAGATCAAACCTCCTTTTGCTTTGTATG